GAATGGAAAAGTTCTTGGAAAGGACTCAGGAGGCCAGAGTTTTTTAATCTTGCTTCGATTTTCTCGTTCCTAGCATGAGGATAATACCCACTTGACCAACTTTACATAGGCGTTGGGATGCTCAAACGAGGAGAGGTCTTCAGAAGTGCTTTGAAACGTATCGCAGACCTGTGAAAGTGTTGACATCGTCAATGCAGAATTGTTGACCGGTTCAACAATTTCCTGGATGTTGTTGGTGCTTCTCTTCATTCAAGACTGGGCAGTGGTCCTTCCTTTGCTTCTAGTTTGCTTGCCTGGGCTGGGGAGAAGCTAGCCCTAGATTGCCATTTGGGGAGCAATAGGACAACAGCAGTATGTGTGAGCAGAGATCGAAAACAAAGTGCTGCAGGAAGTGTCGGGTCGACCTATTTAACGCGTTGTCTTCTACCAACAACTTATTATGCAAGATAACCAGTTTTATGTACCTGCGGAATTATAACAAGAAGGCAGGCATGTTACTGGAGAGATTGGGTTAAGCAAGTAGAAAGTACAGAAAGCAGTGTGTGTGTATATATATATATATATATATATATATATATGTCAGTTCTTGGCTTTGAATTATAGTTTTAAAAAATTGTGTGAGAGAAACAATATCTACAAGCCAACCTTACTGAGTAAACAGCAAGATAAAAACAATGCACAATTATTAAATCAATCCTATATTTAACAGCCACTAAGTAATTATTCAGGATGTTCATTTCTGCATGGCGATCCCGTGAGGCTGGGACAAGCACGTGGGGAGGGTTCTTGGCAGAACATTAGAATCACTTGGGGAACTTAAAGAAAAATATTTATGCCAGGGCCCACCCTGGCATGATCTAATTTGCCTGGGGCGGAGCCTGGGCATTTTGTTTAAGTTCCCCCACGTGATTCTAATGGGCCTGCAAGTTTAGAAGATCAGAGAATGAGAAAGTGAGTTATTGGCCTGGAAGTGACCAGTTAGCCTGCTTTACTGGAGCAGGGGGCTGTGGACTGGAGATTAATAAAAGGCAGATGAATCCACAATGGGACGTCATAATTTAGTAGGAAATAAGGCTATGAGAATTGCTGTTGAAAAAGTTCTGACTGATCTCCGTAGTTAAGTTAGGACCTCTAGAGGCTGTGGGAAAAGCAGCATTCAGTTCAGCTGTGCCCACTGCAGGCGCTGTCCAGAGACCTGGTCTGTGAAACACGGGCAGGATCCTGGATGTGCACAGATGGGAGCCGTACGGGTGCCTGCGCTGTACCCTGACTTCTATTGTGGTGACGCTAGCAGTTTGCTGAAGAATGAAGAGGGACCATGGTGATGTCATTACCAGCTTGGATTTAACAATAACATGTGGTTTCACACCCTATTTGTTGCATTTAGAAAAACCACTATTATTCTGTATGCGCTCCGGACTTCATTTTGAATGAATTTTGGCCATTTTTAGTAATCAAATCCACACTTAAAAATCGAAGGGATACCCATTGAGAAGATTCGAGGGATCATAGTGCAATTGTTAATTCCCAACACAAAACCTGTCTGCACATACAGGGTTTCTAAGCCCCAGGTACCCATTGCGGTAGGACTCTTGAGTAGCTAACTCGCTTAGTCACTCAAGCAATTACATGTTTATTAAGATTGAGCAAAGTACCACACAGTCATTAGGAACTGAAGAAGAGTCAACTAACTTCACTTGTCTACTGTGTCAAGACTTGTAAAAAAGGTGATGAAATGCCTATTAAAGTAGGCTGAGAATAAACTCAGGAGGGAAAAAGTAGTATTTTCTCTAAACTTTCTGAAAAGCAGGAATTTTCAGAAGTTAGTGGGAAAGAGGGAAAATGTATGTGTGCGGGTGCGTATGTACATGCACATGCACACTTAAGTTTGAATAAAAATGTTGGCAAAAGGTGGATCTGAAAAGGCAAGCATGTTGAAAACTCATTAGCAAGAGCAAACTGACCTAAAAACTGTGTGATACAAAATGTTGTACTGTGATCCCCACATCAACAACACTTTCTCCCTCTTCCGTAAGCCCTGCCTCTGATTTGTAGTCACACTTAGGATGCCAGTGACTTGGCCACCTACAGGTTACCCTTCCTTTGGAGGTTGACATAACTTAGATCCTCAAGTGAAGACAGGAAGTTGGAACCACAGACATGCCAGTGGGTGAGGGGAGCTGAAGCTGCTCTCCTTTGTCCTTCCTATGGATTACATTGTTGTCCGTATTAAGCCTGCTTGTTGAATTAGGCATGGGAGACACCAAGATAGCAGTGCTAACCTGGTTACCCTGTTCACTCAGCTGAGTGAATCTGGAGGTTTCCTTTCTCAAATAAAGCTTGCAGTTGTTGGTGGGGCATGGAGTGCATGGGAGCACCAGGAAGACTTAAGAAACGATGGACACATGTATTGGGGTTCTCCAGAGAAACAACTAAAAGGATATACAGAGATAAAGGAGATTTGTTCTAGGAATTAGCTCATGTAATTATGGAGGTCAAGAAGTTCCATGGTCTGCCATTTGCAAGCTGGGGAACCAGGAAAGCCAGTGGTGTAATTGATTCGGAGTCCAAAGGCCCGAGAACCAGCACAGTCGGCATCCAAAGGCAGGAGGAGATAGATGTCTCAGCTCCAGGGAGGAGCCAGTCTGCCCCTCCTTGGCCTTTTTGTTCTCTTCAGGCCCTCAAGGGATTGGATGATGCTCACTCACATTTGTGAGGGCACCTTCTCCAGCCTACCGATTCAAATGCTAATTTCTTCAGGAAACACCCTCACAGACACACCCAGAAAAGTGTTCTACCAGCCAACTGGTCATCCCTTGGCCCAGTCAAATTGATGCATAAAATTAACCATCACGACACGTAAACGTTCTGGCATTTCTGCATCCCCCTCTCCTTTGGCCTCTCTCACATCCTCTGGTTCAGCATCTATCACTTCAAATACCCTGTCCAGAGCCGTAGCTATAGAATCCCTGGTGAGGAGATGAAAAGCAGCTCCCGCCTGAGGCATGGAGGGGCAGTCCTGGGTCCTTCCCTTTCAGGAGATGTTTATTAACAATGATCCTTGACATCTTATAATCCACATGACCCAGCTGCTGACTCTGCTCCTCAGTAATTCAGATAACTGCCTCACAATTACCCAGTGATTCAGAGAAACGAGCCTGGCGACCCGGCAGCTCTCCCAGGACGGGCTCTCTCCCTCCCTGGCACAGCTCCCAGCCCCACCAGTCCATCGGTCACTGGAGTACCCATCAGAGGGTCCACGGCCAGTGCACCTACAACAACCCCCTCCCCACACCCTTCTTGTTTTCCTTCTGGGAGCTGTCCCCTAATCCCCCCATTCACGTCCCCCCTGCTGCGGCCACTAACCCGTTTTTGTGGCCTATATTTGCTAGGCATGGCAGTTATAAAACCATGCTAGTACAATGCAACTGTGCATTTAAATGCTGTTTGAGTTGAGTTGCTTTGCGCATGTCATGGCAGTGAACACAGCCTCTGGCCCTGGGCAGCCACTCTGGCTACAGGGGTTTCAAGTGTGGCTGGCTTTGTGAAAATGCGCCCTCTGTGAAGGGAGAAACATGCAGCGGATATACTATGATGGTGACTTATTGGGTAAGCCAATTTTAATAACTAGTATTATAACTAGTTTAATGCTTAAGGGGAGTAGTTTTAACTGCTTTTTACTGAAGAGATGGCTTAAACCTTTGGGGCTAACCCAGCCTCTCCCACCTTTAGGAAAGCGGGATGATTGATGATTGGTAGTCAGAATATGTGCTCTGATGTGTCTCGCTCATGGAAATGAATTTACCTGGAACTTTACAGACTCTTCTTATCTGGTTCCCCTAACAACAGTGGACATGATATTTACAAATAAGGGACAGCCTGTGGCCAGCGAATGGAGGGAAGGAGATCACTAGCTTCTGGGAACATAACCTTCACCAGCCTGTAAGCTCCTTGAGGATAAGACGGTTCACAAGATACTCATTCTGTATCCAGGAAGGATGCCTAACAGAGAAAGCATTTGATAATTGTTCTGAATATGTTGCTCTAAGCACATGTCTCACTTGGGGGGATAATGCCTTTTATTTTACTAAGTGCAGTGGGAAAAAGGGTACCCATCTGGGGTGATTGTGTGGCAGGTCTTCCTCTACACAGGGCAGTAAGTAGCTCTGGAGATCTCTGTCTTAAGAAGATAGGAACCAGTCATTTAGGAAAACAAAGTAGATACAATTTTAAGGATAATTGTAAGACTTATCTTTGGGAAGTAACTACCTTTGTTGGGTGCCTGCTATGTGCTAAGCACTGATCTCATCTCATTTGACTGTACAACTGTGGAGTAGACATTATTTGCTTCATTTCTATTTGGAGAGACTGAGGGAAGCTCAGAAGTTAAATTGCTCACAGTCACAGCTAGAGTGCTGTGATTTTGGAACTTAAATTCAGGTATATGCAAATGCAAAGCCCACCATCTAAGTGGCACCTGGCACATAGTAGCTGCTCAGTAAATATTTGTGGAATGAATGAGTGAATTTCCCTGCCCTCACCCTATCTTCTGCATCAGCCTACCCGGGCCTTCCCCTGGTTCCTCCTCTGATTTGGCTTGATGTTTCAAAGTGATGTTTGAAACCTACATTTATAGGTTTTGGAAGAGGCTGCTCTTGAAATGTGGTACGCCTTACCTGGGAGGAAGAGTTCGGCCCTCTTCTGACACATTAGCCCAGATCCCTTCTGTAGCGTCCAGACCAACGCGAAGGCCTGGAATTGGTCCCGGTAAATTTGGACTGGGTAGGGAGAGTGGGAGGTCAAGCCTGCGAAGGCGTGAGGGAAGGGCAAAGGCCAGAAATAAGAGTCCGCAGACACAGTCTTGCAAATTTTTCAAAAGGGTCAGGCACCATTTTCCTTTGGGATAGCCCAATACATATTTGCAGAATTAACAGAAATCGGGACCTGGCATTGTTTGGGACTTTGGGGCAGGTCATCTCACACGGAGGGCTCTGACGAGCATGTCCTCCCAGGGCCACTTTGGGGGCGGCGGTGGGAGTGGCCTGGGCCCCGAAGTGGCCCCCGCCGGTCCCCGCAGGCGGGCAGGAGCTCGGAGACCATTGGCTGGCGAGCTGGCTGCGCAGGGGCGGGGAGCGCCGCCGAAGGGGACTGTTTGCTCCTACGGGCTGTAGATGGAGCTGTCCGGCCCCGGCGAGGGGGAAGGCGCCTGGAAAACGTTCTTCTCCCTGGCCGGCCCGAGCGGGGAACAGCACTCCCAGGATGCAGTTTGTGTCAACACGGCCGCAGCCTCAGCAGCTGGGCATCCAGGGCCTGGGGCTGGACAGCGGGAGCTGGAGCTGGGCCCAGGCTCTGCCCCCGGAGGAGGTCTGCCACCAGGAGCCGGCGCTGCGCGGGGAAATGGCCGAGGGAATGCCGCCCATGCAGGTGGGTGCACCCCCGCCCAGCGCCATGGCCGCGCCGCCTGGCCGTGGGGGCGGGGCGCGGGGCTGCGGGGCTGGGGGTGCGGGCGCGGGGCTGCGGGCGCCTGGGGGCAGGGTGGGGGGGGCGTCGGCTCCGGAGGGCCCTCCGTGTGCGGGCGCCGAATCGGAGGCCCGGGGTGGGCCGGGGCGCGGGCGGACTCGCGCGGCAGGCGGGGCGCAGCGGCCCCCAGCAGGCCCGGCCCCGAGTCCCGCGCCCGGCCCCGGTGCCCGAGCAGGCCCGGCCCGCGCGCGCCGCCGAGCAGCAGGCCCCGAGGCCGCGTGCTGCCCGGGCCCGGTGCCCGCGCCCGGAGGAGGCCCCGCGGGGAAGGCGGCGGGGACGTAGCGGAGCCGTGACCGCGGCACGCACCCCGGCCCGGGCTCCCCTTCGCGCACTTGTGCCCGGGCCCAGGCTGTGTGCGCACCGGAGTGCCCCATCGGGTTCACACCCTAGCCACCTGGACAAAAAGATTTGTATTAATGTTGTATTGCCATCTCTCACCAAGTATAATGTGTCATTCACTTTTCCTTTGCACCGGGTGTGACGGAGGAAGGGGGCCATTGAGAGGTGACTTTGCCGTTGGCAAACTTGGCTACACACTGGGGTCACCTGAGCAGCTTTTAAGACTCCTGACGCCCAAACTTGGTCCCCAGCCAGTGAAATCGGCGTCTCCGGGTGGAGAGTAGACACCCGTCAGTTCTTGAAGCTTCATAAGGATCTCAGTGTGCGCCCGAGTTTTGAGAGTCAGTGCTTTGGAGTTGTGTACCGTGTACAACGTGAGGCGGTGGTGCTGATCGAGAGCTGAGTCGTGTTCCCCGGGCGAGTGTGGGAACTGACCCGGGGCTGACCCTGCAGAAGCCCCTCTTGCTCCTAGCCTGCTTCTCCACCGGCTCTGACCAGTTAGCCAGGAGTTGCTGTGTGGGATCATTTTTCAGCCTTACCTCTCCAAACCTTCCAAAAGTCATTTGGGCCTGGTGACGCTCTGAACTTCCACTGTCAGCCCTTGTCTCCTTCTCTGGGCCGTCAGGAGCGAGGCCTGCATGAGCTCAGATGGATGGCTTTGATGGAAACTGGCACCCAGGGCCCTGCTCCCCATTATCCCACATCTCGGAGCAAGTCCCTGGAAGCAGTGGGCTGTTCCTCTGTGGCTATCACAGCTGTTCTGAGTTAGGGCAGTTGGCATGCGTGTCCCTGGCCTGCCCACGTCACCTCTCAGCAGCAGGCCTCCGCTTTGCCCAGCCTGAGGGCCTCATCAGCAGCAACAGGGAGGAAAGAAAATGACACCTGCCATCCCACATGGCAAGGAGAGTTGGTTATCAGCCCTGCTGTTGGCCAGGAAGCCCTGGGTACTGGTATACGGTATGGGGCCAGTTCCCAGGTCACCAGTGAACTGGGACCACCCTCTCTTGGTCATAGGGCTCAGCTCCCAACGCAGACCCATGGGGCCTCGCCTTCCAGGGGCAGGAAGCAGACTGGAAAGTCTTCTCCTCTCAGGCATGTCCCCTCTTTAGCGAATGGCGTTTTTTGGCAAACCTATTTTCATTTTAGAAAATATGAATCAGGAGTTGGATATGGAAAAAAGGCTGCTCGTCTGCTCACTCACTTCGGCTCTCTGGGGTCTCCCTTGGTCACAGCTGCCGGGTATGGGGGCAGCACTTACCTGAACCGTGCTTTTGTTACCCGCAGCACCTAGCTCTGCTCCCATGGGCAGTGACTCCAGGAGCCGTGGAATGACCAGCCACATCTCTGTGCCTCAATTCCATCATCTTTAAAGCAGAGATAATCATTCTTGCCCTAACCTGCTTGGAGATTGCAGGGGAGATTAGGGTCAGGTGACTTAGGCGAGAATTCTTACTTTGAATCAGAAGGCACTAGGTGACTCGAGAGAGAGTTCATCATCAGGTCTAGCCCCCGAGGAGACAGCTGCACCGTGAAAGCAGCAGGTGACATTGCAGGCGGGGGTCTGCAGCCTTGACTTACGAAGGGTCAGGTGGGTAAACGAGTGACCAATCTTGATGGGAAGGTTGGCCGGGTGGCTCCTCGAGCTAGTGCTGGGGCCAGGAATGAACACCATAGCCTGGGGGGTGGGGGCACGGTGGAGGGGCGAGAGTCTGCAGCGTCTGATTAGTTGTTCTCTGTTCCCAGGCCCCCCTCCCCGCCTCACATAGGCTCTCAGCCTCCGCTGTCACTTTCTCCCCCTGCACACAGGCTCAAGAGTGGGACATGGATGCCCGGCGACCGATGCCTTTCCAGTTCCCGCCCTTCCCAGACAGGGCACCTGTCTTCCCTGACCGCATGATGAGAGAGCCCCAGCTGCCCACGGCAGAGATCTCACTCTGGACCGTGGTGGCCGCCATCCAGGCCGTGGAAAGGAAGGTGGAGGCCCAGGCCAGCCAGCTGCTAAATCTGGAGGGGCGGGCGGGGACGGCCGAGAAGAAGCTGGCCGACTGCGAGAAGACGGCCGTGGAGTTCGGCAACCACCTGGAGGGCAAGTGGGCCGTGCTGGGGACCCTGCTGCAGGAGTACGGGCTGCTGCAGAGGCGGCTGGAGAACATGGAGAACCTGCTGAGGAACAGGAACTTCTGGGTCCTGCGGCTGCCCCCGGGCAGCAAGGGGGAGGTCCCCAAGGTACGTGGTGGTCCCCAAGGACAGGGATGGAAGTGAGGACCACCACACGTCAACGAAACTCTCAATTTCATTTGGCCGGTCCTTCCCACAAAATTCTCTGGCTCCCTCTTGTATGATTTCAGTGGCTTTCTCTCTCTCTCTTTTTGTTTTTTGAGAGAGAGAGAGAGAGAGAGAGCACACACCGGGGGGGGGAGGGGGAGGCAGGGAGGGGGGTGGCAGAGGAAGAGGGAGAGAATCTAAAGCAGACTCTCCTGAGCGTGGAGCTGGACGTGGGGCTCGATCTTATGACCCCAAGATCATGACCTGAGCCAAAATCAAGAGTTGGACGCTCAACTGACTGAACTCCCCAGGTGCCCCTGATTTCAGTGTCTCTCTTTTTTTTTAAAGATTTTATTTATTTATTTGAGAGAGAATGAGAGATAGAGATTTGAGAGTGAGAGAGAATGAGAGATAGCATGAGAGGGAAGAGGTTCAGAGGGAGAAGCAGACTCCCTGCTCAGCAGGGAGCCCGATGTTGGACTCGATCCCGGGACTCCAGGATCATGACCTGAGCCGAAGGCAGTCGCTTAACCAACTGAGCCACCCAGGCGCCCTGATTTCAGTGTCTCTTAAAGCCTGCCTCCACTTAAATAACTGAGTCATGAATGTTCTACCTCCATGAGGCTGCCCTCCACCCATTCCCCACAGAATCTGCCTGCTTCTGTCTGTCAGGCTTTCCTGTCACCTTTCCCAGTACCCCCGAGGTATCTGGGTGTCTGCAGACTCCTGCCGCTCGTCATGCTTGGGTTTTCCACTTCGCACCTACAGAGGACCATTTGTCATTGGTTATCTTTGTACATGCTCATTTGAACGCGGCTGAGACAAACCACGCAAACTGGAATTGCTAGGAAGTTGTGACCATCCCCTCTGCGGCCTTTCTTGCAGCTCAGAATTCATGTTCCATTTCCCCCCTCCCATTCCCTCACCTCCTGCACCCACCCCAACCCAACCCTCCTACGCACTGGATCATCAACATTGTACTGTCAATCGATGACCCAGCCTTCTGGTCTACCGAGAACATGGAGTCACTACAAGAGGCACACATTCAGCCATGACCCTCATCCACCCGATGCTGCCTTGAGCCTGTTGCCTTCCCTGTTCCCGCGGCCTCGCCGGCCCACCGTTCCCCCCTGTGCTGACTCCCCCACCCACCTGCCTTCCCCCCATTCTCCTCTGTATCATCAACTCTTCCTCCTACTGGTCGTTCTACACGTCCTAGAACATCACCCAACTCTGTGATGAAAATCTCCCTAGGCTCTACCTCTCCCTGCAGTTAGTGCCTCATTTCTCCGCTCCTCTTTAAGCAGACTTCCTTAAACATGTATTTGCTGTCTCTAGTTCCTTCTCTCCCTGTCCTTTTTAACCTTTTTATTATAGAAAACTCAGACATCCACACAAGCACATAGAATAATGTGAGGAACCATCACGGACCCATCATCCAGCTTCCACAGCTGTTGGCTCTTGGCCAGTCTTGTTTCCTCTAAAGCCCCCACCCACATCCCCTCCTGTTTTATTTTGAAACCAATCTCAGGCGTCAGTCTTTTTTCTTTTTCTTTTTTTTTTTTCTGGTAATATTTCAGTGTGTAGCTCTGGAAGGTAGAGACTCTTTTTCTGAAATACGACCTCAGTGTTGCTACCACCACCATAAAAGCCTCCGCCTACTCAAGTATCCAATCAGTGTTCAAATGTTCTTGTCTTCCAAACACGGTTTGTTTTCTATTAGTTTGTCTGAATCAAAACTTAAGAAGGGGCTATGTCTTTGAAGTCTTGTTAAATCTGTCAGTTCCTCCTTCATCTCTCATTTTTCCTTGAAATCCATCTGTAGAAGAAACTAGGCCTCACATCCTCTTGAGTTTCTGACTGTCCGGATTCTGCTGCTGCCGCCTCCACGGTCTCATTGAACGTGTTCCTCTATTCTCAGTATTCCAGTAAGGTGGTGATTGGATCATTCTGGAGTCTCTGCGAGTCAGGCTTCTGCTCCCACCTCTCCATCCTGTTAGTCTTGCCAACGGTCTCGTGATGTCCACACTCAGTTCTCCCTTCATCTTCTCTGCCCTGAAGGTGGCATCGCAGGCAGGTGGCCACCCCCTCCTTGAGACATCTTTTCACGGGGCTTCCAGGTGACCTCCCCTGATTCTCTTCCTATCTCCTAGTGGCTCCTGCTCAGTCTCCTTCACGGGCTTCACCTTCTTTTCCCGACCTTTTATGTTTGGAGTGGTCCAGGGCTGGGTAATGACCTTTGGCTTATTATCTACACTCCCTCCCTCATGATTGCACTCAAGTCTCGGGGTTTTAAATGCAGCCTGTGTCCTGTCAGCTTCCAAATGCAGTCTCCCCCGCCCACTCTCTCCCTATCTCTTGTCCAGACTTCTTCAATGCCAGATTCACATGCTTACCTGCTAATGCAGCGGGACTCGGTAAATATCTTAGGTTTAACATGACCAAACTGAACTCCCATCTTCCGCCTGAAACCTGTTCTACCCCATCCTCGTCTCCATGAAGACAGCTCTACCCTTCCAGTGGCTCAAGCCAAAAACTTTGGGGTCATGTTTGCTTCTTCTCTTTCTCAGCCCTCCTTCCGATATATTAGTAAATGCCGTCTGACTTTTCTTCAAAATACTGTCCCCAGGCTGACCACTCCTTTCCACCTCCACTGCTCCCACCATCATCTGGTGAGAGACTCCGTCACCTCGCCTCTGATAGTTGCCGTGGCCTCCTGCCTGGTGTCCTTGTCTCCATCCTTGTCCCTCACCCTATACAATCTGTTCTCAGCACAGTAGCCAGAGTGATCCTTTAAAAATATAAATTGGTTACCTCTGCTTAAAACCCCCAACTGGCTTACTACCTCATGCAGCATAAAAACCCCTGTTCCGTCAGGGGCCCCCCCTCGGGCCCCACCTTTCTGACCTCATCTCCCCTCCGCCCATCTTGTCCACTCCTTTCCAGCCACACAGTCTCACCTCAGGGACCTCCCTCCACAGGAAAGCTCCCTCCTTGGGAACCTGCCTGGCTCCCTCCCCATCGCTTCCATGGAAAGTCTGCCCTTCCATGGCCCCCCAACACCAAAGAACCACATCCCCCCAATCCCAGCACTCTCTTTTCCCCGTCCCTGCTCCCATGTTCTCCAAAGCACTGTGCCATCGGGCACCTTAAATATTTACTTCTTTTTTTGTCCTCTTGGATGGTCTTCCCTGACCAGAATGTAATTTCTGCTTGGTTCACCGCTGTGTCTCCTTGCCTATAACTACACCGGCTTCAGTCAGTATTCAGAGAGTGTTTGCTGAGTGACTGTCTAGCTGGAGAGCTCCCACTTTCATGTGAGGGACTGGGTCTTCTAGGTCTCCCTATCTTTTGGAAAGAAGTGAAGTATAAGTAAATAATTTTGTAAGTAAATACCCAGCTGGTCACCCTGAATTTCAGTGTTCTCATCTATAAGATGAAGATGATAACACATTTATGACACGGGTTGTGAGGATTCACTGATTTTGTGGATGGACAACACTATGTACCCTGTCGTCTTAGTTTTCTTTCTTTTTTTTTTTTTTAAGATTTTATTTATTTGACAGAGACACAGCGAGAGAGGGAACACAAGCAGGGTGGAGGGGCAGAGGGAGAGGGAGAAACAGGCTTCCCACTGAGCAGGGAGCCCGATGTGGGGCTCGATCCCAGGACCCTGGGATCATGACCTGAGCCGAAGGCAGACGCTTAACGACTGAGCCACCCAGGCGCCCCTGTCGTCTTAGTTTTCTATTGCCGTGTAGCAAATTACTCCCAAAACTTAGCAGCCTAAAAAAAAGTAATTATTTGCCATCTTGCAGTTTCTGTGGGTTAGGAGTTTAGGAGCAGCTTGGCTGAGTGATTCTGGCTCAGAGTCTCATGAAGTTATGATCAAGCTATTGACTGAGTTGGTGGTGATCTGAAGGCCTGGCTGAGGCCTGAGGATCTGCCTCCAGGACGGCCCACTCACTTGGCTCTTGGCAAAGCCGCAGTTCCTCACTGTGTGGACCTCCCAACATGGCTGCTTGAATGTCCTCACAACATGGCAGCTGGCTCCCCCCAGAGTGGGTGAGCCAAGAGAGAGACCGGGATGGAGCTTTCCTGTCTTTTATGACCTAGTCTCAGAAATTGTACACATCACTCCTTAATGTGTTTGTTAGAAGCAAGTCACTAAATCCTGCCCACGCTCAAGGGGAGGAATATTAGGCTCTACTTTTTGAAGGGACTGCCAAAGAATTTGTGGGCATATTTTAAAACCCACCGCCATGAAGCACCATGAGAGAGTTAATTAATGTTGCTATTAATAGTTATAATTCATTGTGTACTGTTGGCCATGCTAAGTGCCTTCTCTTTGTCAGATTCAAGAAAGGCTCTTGTCTCTCAGATCCTTTGTGCCTCCTGGATTCTAGTGTGTCTGTTAATTGGCTGACAGATAATTCACAGGCAGTCTTTTCTGTCCAGCTAGACTGTAGGCTCCCTGCCGTCTCTGGCCGGTCTCGGACTTCTGCTGTATCCTGGCACAGGGAAGTTTTTATGTAGTGATGTCTCTTTCCAACTGTGAGAATATGATTCCAGAATTGTGACTCTTCATAAAAATGGTGAGGTGAGGCAGAGGAGTTGGCACGTTGGAAAAGATGATGAACTTGGTGTTGGATACATTTAGTTTGACGTACTTAAGAAGTGATTAAACGGAGCCACTCAGAGGGCTGTTGAAATCTGAACTCTAAAGGGAACAAGGAAAACTGAAGAGTATCGTCCGCAAAGAGGTAACCACTGAAGTTGTGCAAAGAATGACCTTGCTGAGGAAAAAATGAAGGGACAGGGAAAGCTAAGGGCAGAGCCTTGGGGTTGGGGGAGGAAGAGAAGGCAGTAAGCTGAGTGGGCAGGAGGAAGCAGAGTCGTGGAAAACAAGCAGGAGAAGATTCTAGAAAGGCGATCTGCCCTTGCAAAGAGGTCTGAAAGGGTAAGGGTTAACAGGAGGCTACTGACGGCCTTCCAGGGTGTGGTTTCAGAGCATGGGGGGTTCATCGACAGATTTTAAGGCGTTAAAGGATGCATGGATCATGAAGAAGGAAACACAAAGCATGCCTCTTGGGGTGTTTCAAGTGAAGAGGGAGGGTAGAGTCGCTTGAGATGACAGAGTTGAGTGGCGGTTCATCTTAGGTTGGATGACCCGCAAGGGAAAGCCACTGGAGAGGGAGAGCCTGAGATGTCAAAGAGAAAAGTTTGTTTGAGTTGAGTTTCACAGGCAGGGGCTGGAGGAGAAATGAGGGGCACATTAGTGGGGGGTTGGCTTGGTGAGAAGGGCAAGGGAGCTTGCCAGCAGCCACCTGGGATCAGGACCCAGGACAAATGGGGAAGACTGGGGAGGGGCTGGGGAGAGGGGAGAGTTTGGAAGAAGCCTCCCAGAGAGCACAGGAGAGGTCCACAAGATCTACCAGAGGCTTCCAAAGCAGCCTTGGGTGGGACAAGTGGTATGAATGTATGGAGGGTGTCGCCGGCAGAATTGTGTGACTTTTGTCTAGGGGCAGGAAATGAAAATGAAGAAAGTGGTCTGTATCGGTTTTCGTGGCTTGGGGATATGCCCCAGTCTGGTGGAAGGTCCAGGAAATTAAAAGTTCTGTTCTGTCTCTAAAGATGAGTGGTGGGTGAGCTCTCAGTCAGTGGGTGACATACAGCTGCGCACACCACACCTACACAGGATACCCGTAGGGTTATGAGCACCTGATGTGAGAGCAGACATTTCTAATTTGTGTAAAGGCACTGTGCACTCACCGAGCTGGACACCAGTGGGCCTGGAGCGCAGAGGGCTGGTCCTTTCCTAATGGGTACAGAGGTGCCACATAGGCTGGCTTTGGCCCTGTGTGCAGGTGCGAAGACCAGTGGACTCAAATTAGGGCCGGGGAAAAGGGAGGGGTTGGATTTCTGAGTGCGAGCGGAAGCCTGGTCCCGTGGGTGTGAGAGTGGGGGGTGGGTGGGGGCAGGGCTGGGTGTCCGAGAAGGGAAGTTCAGATGTTAAAGTCATGAAGTGAAACAGTTCTGAACGATGCGGGCCAAGGCCAGGCCATGCTGCTGAGCATCCGAGATGAGTCCAGACGAGGACCGTTGTCAAACCGAAGTAACAGTTTTATAGAACAGACGAGACCGCCTAGAATAACAGGGGCCCGGCATCTGGGATGGATGACTCAGGCTGCGGTGGAACTTTCTAGTATTGGCAGCAGCCAGCCACTCATCGTATTCAACAAATATTTACTGGCTCCAGACTCTGTGCTTCTAGATGCTTGGGATATAGCGCTGAACGAAACAGATCAAGATCCTGGAGCTCTAGCGCATGCCCTTAGATTTACATGTTTTAATGACAGAAATGTAACTGTGGACCTTACTGAGGTAACCTGACTGGAAAGACAGGTTTTGTAACAGGGTTTTACTGTACTCGGCTCACTGATCCCCTCTTGGAGAACCTTCCACACCTCTGTCACCCTGAGTGCTGAAAGCAGCACATTGACTTTGGCTTTACCTTCAGGGACCCAGGTGCCCTAAACATGGAATTACAGAGGATATGCTTAAATGCGTTAAAAAAAAAAAAGTTAGTGTTGACCATCCTTGTTTGGGGAGCACGAGAAGATCAGGAATAGAGTGGGCTGACTCCACTCCTGTGGACTGGGCTGGGACTTGGGGGACGAGGAGCCATGGCAAGCAGAAGCAGGCTCTAGGGTAGAAGGGGCCCTGTGGCCGACGGAGGGGAGGCTGTGGGGAGAAGCAAGCAGGTGTCAGACTAAAATTCTTCTTGGCCAAGGTTCCCGTGACGTTTGTCGACATCGCTGTTTACTTCTCTGAGGATGAGTGGAAGAACTTGGACGAATGGCAGAAGGAGCTTTACAACAACCTTGTTAAGGAGAACTATAAAACCCTGATGTCCCTGGGTAAGAGCCCCTTCCCTCCTCCAGGGCAAGCAGTCTGCGCAGAGGGCAGTAAAACACTTACCAGCCCCGGCTAAGTGTTTGTGTTCATCCCTAATGGAAATGCAAGTAACTATCTGCTCATAACTCTATAAAGATAGAATGAGTATAACAAGATGACAGTTAGAAACTCAGGAACAGACAGGGCCTGTCACTGTAGCATTGAGCTCCGCACTGCTTTTGTTCCGGAATACGGCCAGACTGCATCATTGGCGTGTGACTATATGCTACCTCCCCATGGATGAGCCACAGTCTGTCTGCTGTTGGCTTTCGGAGTCCTGCTATTTCTACACTGGAAATTGGGGATCTGTTGGCTCGTTTTCAGGGTTCCTTCTAAGAGATGAGCTGACATAGGTATTGGCGACCACTGAGAGGGGCTCTCTGCTGGGGAGGGGGTCTTGGGTTGGGGAGACTTCTGCGGCTGCCCTTGATCCGGATCCGTTGGTCAACTTCACTGTGTGTCCTTCCTTCCCCTCCAACTCATTCCAGACACGGAGGGTGCAGTGCCCAAGCCAGATGCTCCATCCCAGGTGGAGCCCAGGGAAGAGCCTTGTGTGTGGGAGCAGCGTGACCCAGAAGAGAGAGAAATCCTAATGGATCCAGACACAGGTGATGGTAGCTGAAAAGAGCCCCAGGTCCAGGGCAGGGCAGGAGAGGAGCCGAGGAGATGTAGTTCCTGACAGCGCTGCCCCTGGTCAGCTCTCGCTGGGCTGGAAGGTTCCAGGGCTATAGTCCTGGCTGTGCCCCGGAGGCCTTTCGTCAGGCCCTCAGCTCTCCTGAGTGGTGCTGCCCTTGGTGCAGCCGAGCCTGAACTGTGTTCTCTGCCTTATCATACAAACTCTGCCCTTCTTCAGGAAGTTCCTTTTTTTTTTTTTTTAAGATTTTTTATTTATTTGACAGAGACACAGCGAGAGAGGGAACACAAGCAGGGGGAGGGTGAGAGGGAGATGCGGGGCTCGATCCCAGGACCCTGGGACCATGACCTGAGCCAAAGGCAGACGCTTAACGACTGAGCCACCCAGGCGCCCCACTTCTGGAAGTTCCTTTAGAAGGTCACTCAGAGGCAGCCCCTTCCTTTCCAGTTTGTTCTCTTCATTGGAATATAATTCATATGCCATAAATAAAGTCACCCTTCTAAAGTATATAATTCGGGGGTTCACAAAGTTGTGCAGCCATCACCATGATCTAATTCCAGAACCTCTTCATCACGGGAAATCCCGGACCCGTGAGCAGTCACTCCCACACCCCCCAGCCCCCGGCCCCTGGCCACCACTGATCAACTCTGTCTCTGTGCATTTGCCCTTTGTGGACAGTTCATCTGGCGGCCTGCTCCCCCTCTTCAGGCACTGCAGGGGCTGAGGTCAACAGCTGGGGCAGCCCTTCACGCTTACGGCCCTGGACCTCAGCAGTGTCACCTAGTTGTCATCCATCCCTGTGTGTGCACTGGCACAGTGACCACTGTGCCCGTGTTGTGGGTGGAACGAGCAGGCCGAGAGCCAGAGAGGTCGGCTGCCTCACCTGCTGGGCTGGGGGCACAGTGGAAACCAGGAGCCAAGTCTTCCGGTTCCTCCTCTGATCCCCCCGGCCACCTGAGCCGACTGCTCTCAGGGCTAGTACGTCGCACCACAGAACATCAGAAGGACACACCCTGTTTGTCACATCTTGGGGTCTACAGAGAGGATATATCATTGTCCTGTATGTGTGAGGACACTGCATTATCCATCCAGGATGGGGCCAGGCGGAAGGCTGGTAATGGTGTGTGTGTGTGTGTGTGGCCACCTCTCTCTGACTGGGGTGAAAAATGAAAATGAACATCTTGTACACAGAGGTCAAACTTCTGGCCTTGTCCTGATTAGCACCAAACCCAGGCTGGGCCGTTTTTTTGGAACTCTCTCCGGGCCTCATTACACCTCATCCCGCGGTTTGGCCTACCCCTTTGTCCTGAATACTGATTATTTTTCTGCTCCCAGAACCTTCTGCTTCCCACAGTTGCCCACAGGAGCCCGAGGCTCCCGTGCTGATAGGTGCTGTCAGCTGCATTTCTGACCCCAAGAACATCTGGGTGATGATTGTTCAGAAAAAACACCAAATGACATCCTTCTCTCTCCCCAGGAGCAGAACCCCTGGTGTCTGCACAGGATTCATCCTCGCAGGTCAAAAGGGAGGAAGCCCTATGTGTCCGGGGTCAGCGGGGCCTGGAGGAAAGAGCCATCCCCACAGAGTCCATTACTGGTGAGTGAGCCCAGTAGCTGCCCTAAGCCAAGGAGGGAGCGGAAAGGGCCAGCATGGTCTGCAGGCCCCCAGCATCATCCGTCGTGTGTGGCAGACCAGAGGCCCGAGCTGGAAATGTAAGAGTTGGGTCCGGAATGGGCAGAGAGACAGGATTTCCCGTAGGGCACAAACATAGCACATCTGGGCTTAGCTTGTCTGTTACCTCTCTTTTTATATCAGTTTTTAACTATTCCTTCCTCCCCTTGAAGAGGAGCATCAGGCAGAAGTGCTAAGTGTAAGAAACTTCATGATGAGGTGCTGTGGTTGGGGAATATATCAGTCCATAGGACCTGCTCCTGACTGGGAAGAGCTTTCGTTGTTTTCAACAAGTATTTATGGGTTATTACCTCTGTGCCGTGGGGTAGTCGGGGGGGGCAGGGGTCCTCTTAGGTTACGTTCCAGCTGGACTCTGTGTGAGAAGCCTCTGAGAGCATATGTGTATTAGGGTGTTCCAGAGAATCCACAGGGTGTGTGTGGGTATGTATCTGTGTGTGGAGAGAGAGACAGACAGACAGACTGATTTTAAGGAACTGCCTTCAGTGATTGTGGAGACTGGCATGTCCAGAATCTGCAGGCTGGAGACCCAGCACAGTCTTCTGGCCGGATTCCCTCTTCCTTGGGGGTGGTCTGTCTTTTTCTATGGAAGCCTTCACCTGTTGGAATGAGGCCCACCCACATTATGGAAGGCAGGGGTTGCTGATTGAAATATTAATCTTCTCAAAAAATAAAATCCGTTTACAGAAACATCTAGAATAATGTGTGGGGGCGCCTGGGTGGCTCAGTCGGTTAAGCATCTGCCTTCAGCTCAGGTCATGATCCCAGGGTCCTGGGATCGAGCCGCACATCCCTGCTCAGCAGGAAGCCTGCTTCTCCTTCTCCCTCTGCCTGCTGCTTTCCCCGCTTGTGATCTCTCGCTTTCTGACAAATAAATAAATAAAATCTTAAAAAAAAAAATAGAATAATGTCTGTCCAACTATGTGTGTACTGTGGCCTGGCTGTCACAGAATTACCCATCACAAGATCTAGTAACATACTTATCCACAGGTTAGAGCTCCACAAACCTTAGCCGCCCCTTAGTCAGAGCCTCACACTCCCAGGTAAGTGATAGCAGCATCTGAGTGGGGGAAACGCTGGTCCCTTTCCATCAAGCATGCTCCTGGACGGCGGCACAGTATTAATATCTTCAATTAGCAATAATCACGCCTCGGATAAACCTCATTGGCTACGATACTGCCACTGCGCAAAGCTAGTATTAATATCTTCAAAGAAATCTGTAAGAGATAAGAAGGCAATAAAGTTGGGGCACCTGGGTGGCTCAGTCATTAAGCGTCTGCCTTCGGCTCAGGTCATGATCCCGGGGTCCTGGGATCGAGCTCCACATCGGGCTCCTTGCTCGGTGGGAAGCCTGCTTCTCCCTCTCCCTCTCCCCCTGCTTGTGTTCCCTGCTCTCGCTGTGTCTCTCTGTCAAATAAATGAATAAAATATTTAAAAAAAAAGGCAATAAAGTTAAATGAGTTTTAACAGACCGCAGAGGAAAAACGTAGCATACACCTTAGAAAAATCCCAATAAGGGGCGCCTGGGTGGTGCAGTCAGTTAAGCGTCCAACTCTTGGTTTTGGCTCAGGTCATGATCTGAGGGTCGTGAGACTGAGCCCTGCGTGGGGCTCTCTGCTCAGCACGGAGTCTGCTTGAGATTCTCTCCCTCTCCCTCTCCCCCTCCTCCTACTCATGTGCTCATTGTCTGTCTGTCTGTCTCTCTCTCTCTCTAAAATAAATACATAAATCTAAAAAGAAAAAGAAAGAAAAATCCCAATAAAGTGGTGGATCTAAACGGCTTCATGGAAGGCAGCCTGTTCTGGAAAATCCCCTTAAGAATACCTCTGTCCATGGTGGTGCTCTGTACTCAAGCTGAGTCTCAGTCTAAGGACTGAAGTTCCCAAAGCACAGAAAGACTCTCTCGAAGTCACCGTGAGTGACGCTCCCGTATAGTATACCCTTATTTGCAGAAAAGCTCCATTAATTGAGCCAAGCCTGCTTAAACCTTTAATTAATTAGCATACTTTAATTATGCCTGAATTTTAGGGAAAAGAAATAATTGCAGGAAATGAGAGATTTACTCAGCACACAATCTTGCAGGCATTTCATGTCCCCTGACGCCTCCGTTGCTCTTTTCCCACAGACTCCCCGGCCTCTGCCCAGGACCTCTTATCCCGGATTAAACAGGAGGAGCACCCATGCGTATGGGATCAGCAGGATCTGGCAGAGAGAGATATTCCAACGGACCCCAATTCAGGTGAGCAAGATACCAGGATGAATATCAAGGACAAGGAGACTCTTACTCAACTTTGTATGCAGGCAAATCAATCTGATCACTTTTGGTTAAAGGCCAATGAAAGGCTCAGAGAATAAAATACAGCATGTTCGGGGCGCCTGGGTGGCTCAGTTGTTAAGTGTCTGCCTTCGGCTCAGGTCATGATCCCAGGGTCCTGGGATGGATGGAGCCCCTCATCGGGCTCCCTGCTCTGCGGGAAGCCTGCTTCTCCCTCTCCCACTCCCCCTGCTTGTGTTCCCTCTCTCGCTGTGTCTCTGTCAAATAAATAAATAAAATCTTAAAAAAAAAAAATACAGCATGTTCTTCAGTTAGCAACTTCATACGGATTTTGGAATATAACCATTCGTAAAGTACAGAGGACTTTTTTTTTTTTTTAATTTTATTTATTTGACAGAGAGAGAAATAGTGAGAGCAGGAACACAAGCAGGGGGAGTGGGAGAGGGAGAAGCAGGCTTCCTGCCTGAGCAGGGAGAGCCCGATGCGGGGCTTGATCCCAGGACCCTGGGACCATGACCTGAGCCGAAGGCAGACGCTTAATGACTGAGTCACCCAGGCGCCCCAACAGAGGACTTTTCTAAATGAATCATTAAATTGTTAATTTATTGTGTCAACGTAACTGATACTAAAATTATTTCTGCAACGACAGTTTTTGAACAGTAAGTATAACCAGAAAGGCTTTTAAAAGTTGGGTGTATTTCTGTGACAGAAAGAAAGAAATTTACATTTTCTGCAAGTTTTCGTGGGTGAACACTAGTTAAATGTCTTCCAAGAAACTTCTGGGTAGGGTCCAGGCATATAGAACAGTAAAGAAGCTCCACCCGTCTGGGGCCTGCACACACGTGTGTGCACGTGTGTGTGTGTGGGTGTGTACGCACGCACGCGTGTGCTTGCACAGCTGGGGAAGTGCAGTGTCCTCTCGTTTGGTTATGACCCATAGTCACATCCTCCCCCACATACCAGGAAGAGAAGATCAGACATCAAATCTAGCATTCCTTGTTGTTTAAACCCTGCAACTTCACAGTGGAGAAACTGAAGGGGTCCAGGCCAGGAGGGGCAGCCAACCCTTCCTGGTAGAGTCAGCAGTCTACACCTCTCTCGAGACCTTTGTTCACTGCTTCTCTGGCGGCTGGTTCTGAAGTCCTACCACTCAGCCCTTGGTCCTGCGGGCCGTCAGACAGTAGGCCGCCCTCTGGCCTGTTCTGGCCCCAGAGTTTGCTCTGGGGCTCCGTGGACAGAGCTGGGAGACGCAGGTTCCGATCTCGGTTGTGTGTCTGCACAGACACTGGGTCAGGCCGCCTCCTCCCTGGCCGGCTCCCGATGTAGCACAAGCAAGATACCACGTCTGAGGGCAGGGAGGGTGAGGACGGCCAGTGTGAAACTCGAGACCTCTACCGCCACGTGCCCTGCGAGCACCAGCAGGGACCTCTGCACGTGATGGTTCTCTAACCTCTGATGGACGTGAACAGCATCTCAGACTGCCTTCTTTCCATCAACAGAGTCTCTGATCTCAGCGCACGACATTCTGTCATGGATCAAGCAGGAGGAACAGCCGTACCCATGGGGCTCTCGCGACTCAATGGAAGGAGAGCTCGGATTAGATTCTGGCCCCAGTGAGTAACGCGCCCCCCTGGGGCCCCTGGTCTTTCATCCATGGGGATGGTTGCTTTCCTCCGCCTCCCGCCGCCCCCCATAGGTGATGTTCTGTCATGCCAGCCTCTCGCCCGTCTGTATCAGAGCACTGTCCCCTTTCCTTTTGGAGGATGGCCGGTGTATTTCTGTCCTAGGGCTGACTTAACAAAGTACCACAAACTGGGTGGCTTAAAACAACAGAAATGTGTTGTCTCTTCCGGTTCTGGAGACCAGAAGTCCAAAGTCAAGGGGTCAGCCGGGGCATGCCCTCTCTGAAAGCCATAGGGGAACCCTTTCTTGCCTATCCCTAACTTCTGGTCTTTGTAGCAAGGGTTAGCATTCCCTTGGCTTGTAGGTGCGTCACTCCGTCTCTACCTTTGTCCCCCGTGGTGTTCTGCCTGCGTGTCTTTGTCTTCACCTGGCTGTCTTCAGGGCCTACCCTACTCCAGTCTGACCCCATCTTAACTAATTACCTCTGCGAAGAGCCCATTTCCAAATAAGTCACTTTCTGCGGTCCTGGGGGTTTGGATTTCAACACGTCTTTCCACGGGACGTCGTTCAGCCCCTAAGAGCAGGGAAAGGAGGGTGGGCTGGGAGGGGGCTGACCCACTGGTACCTGAGCAGGAGGTAATGGTGGTAGGTGGCTCATGTACCAGAAAACACTGGCCGGAGTCCCAAGCCAGCCCTGAACAGGCACCCCACAGTAACTGGTGAAGATACTGAAGCTCAGCTAGGGAGAGGGGTTTGGTTTTGTTTTGTTTACCCACAACAGGTATGGGACCAAATATCTCACCTGACTTGGGTCTCCTGGGTCTTTTTTTGAAGTTCCACTTATTGGCCAGGGAACTTAAGCATATGTTTGTGGATTATTTAACACTTAGCGTCTGGCTGGCATTCCTTGCCAGACCCGCTACCATCTCCTTGTTCTCAAGACGGCTGACTTAGCATCTGCTGGTCAGAGTGTTGAAGGAGCAGCTAAACAATATATTCCTTGTGCACACTCCTGACACCCTCCAGGAGCTTAAAGTCCAGGGCAGAGCTGAGGACATAGATTATTTCTGATCTGGAAAGCCATTTAAAAGTCAGGTAAGTGGATCCCAGTGTCTGAGACAAATTTAGTCCAGTCTGGAAGGGCAGGCCGGGGCTGGAGGAGTGGGCAAGGAGCAGTATGCCCTTGTTTCAAATAGAACTTAAAGTGGTTCCTCTTCTGACCTGCTGCTGGGGTGGGGATGGGACAGGGGAAGCCAGGCCACTGTCTGTGAGGACGGGAAGAAGTGCCAGCAATTTCCACTTCTTTCTTGACGGTGCTCAGGCCACTATTTCTGGCCTTGAAGGCATACGTACTAGTTCATCCAACCTCATGCCAGGAATTCTGCCCAAACCTTTGTCCCTCGATGCTACCGTCTGATTTTTCCAAGTCGGCTAGGAGTACGTGGGCCTGGACAAGCCTTTTCCTGGAGACCTGTGCGGTTGTGGGGACGGATCTAGGGAAGTCCGTGCAGAGGTTGCAAGGCTTTGCAAGTGACCAGATCATTTTACCCCCTCAATTTGGATACACCGAGTCATAGAATGATTTGCTTCATGTTTTATCTCTGGGAGGCCTTCGAACCTTAGCACTGGGGAGGCAGTGCCCAGAGTTTGGGCGACAGAAGCATCTGGAAATGCTCCTCCTACAGGCCCAGTCACCAGAGCCTCTTGACTTTCTCCCGAAGTGGGCCTGCCTTCCACTTGTTAATGTTGAAATTAGTATCTCACCTGTGATTTCTTTGAAGTTTAAAGACATGGAATCATGTCTTCTGGAGAGGAGCTGGAAGGAGAGAGGGTAGTGGGAGTAGAGAGTAAAACACAGAACTATAGGGTATCTGTCCCTGCCAAACTCCTTTCCCCAGCCCCAGGGGTATGCAAGAAAGACCTGGTGTCCTGTTTGACTTCAGCCTAATTGGACGTTATATTTTAGTAAAAGGGATTCCTCGATTGTATATTAAAGGATGTGTATTTTTTTTTGAATTTTTAATAATTTTTTTTATTGTTATGTTAACCACCATAAAGGATGTGTATTTTTTTTTTAAGATTTTATTTATTTATTAGAGAGAGAGAAAGAGAGAGAGCAGGGGGGAGGGGCAGAGGGAGAGGGAGAAGCAATCTCCCCACTGAGCAGGGAGCCTGACTGGGACTCAATCCCAGGACCCCAAGATCATGACCTGATCCAAAATCAAGAGTCAGGCGCTGAACCACCTGAGCCACCCAGGTGCCCCCTAGTTTACATTTTAAAAAGATAAGTTCAGGGCGCCTGGGTGGCTCAGTTGGTTAAGCGACTGCTTTCGGCTCGGGTCATGATCCTGGAGTCCCGGGATCGAGTCCCACATCGGGCTCCCTGCTCAGCAGGGAGTCTGCTTCTCCCTCTGACTCTCTTCCCTCTCATGCTCTCTATCTCTCATTCTCTCTCTCTCAAATAAATAAATAAAAAATCTAAAAAAATAAAAAATAAAAAAAAAATAAAAAGATAAGTTCAGGAACGGACTGCAGTGCGGGGGGAACCATGAGCCAGAAGCAGGGAAGCCATTTAGGAAGCTAAAGTGGTTGGTACAGAGCAGGTGAAGAGATGACCATTGGTCAGAGTTGGGATGGGGTCAGTGCGCAGGGAGAGAAGTAGACGGGATTCAGGACAGACTCTGGACGTGTTGCTGAGGGATTGTGTGTGGTGGGCGAGCAGTCAAGAGTGACACCCAGGGTTGGGCCCTGAAGAACCAGGAGAGCAGCGGTGCCCTTTACTGAAATGGTGAGTCCTGGGAAAGAGCCAGTTTACTGTGTAAACCCAGTGCTCTACGTTGGGCCTGTTCGATCTGAGATGGCATCAGGTAGGCAGATGAACGTAGCAGGGTCTGAAGTTCAAGGAAGAGCTCGGGGCTACGTGAATTTGGGGGTTGTAGCTTGCAACGACTTCTCACTGCAACTACCTGGAATTAGACCAAACTTTATAGGTGAAGGGCCCTCCTCCACAAGACTGCTCTTATTTACACCCAGCTGCAAGTTTGAGGGTCCCCAGCCCACTCACTCCTAACTGGCTGGCCACAAATCCAGGGGTTCCCATTAACTCCTGAGGTTCAGCAGTTGACTAGAACAGCTCACAGGGCTCAGGAAAGCTACTATACTTAGAATTAGTTTTATTAGAGCAAAAGGATTCAAATCAGAGCTAGCCAAAAGGAGAGATCCATAGGACCAATTCTAGAAGGGTCCTAAACACAAAGCTTCTGTTGTCTGCTCCCTGTGGGATCAGGAGTGTCACTGTCCCAGCACAGTGATGTGTGACAATACACAGAGTATTGCCCATTAGAGAAGCTCACCCAAGCTTCTGTGTCCAGAGTTTGTACTGGAGTTTCTTTATATACTTATGATTGATTGAACTACTTACTGGCCATGAGGTGAACTCATTCTCTAGCCTGTCCCCTCTCCAGAGGTTGGGCTCAAAGGCCCAACCCTCTAATCCTGTCTGTGGATGGTCTTTCTGGCATACCCAGCCCCCATCCTGAGTCCTCCCGTTAGCTTAAACTGTTTAGTTAGCTTAAACTGTTGAGGCACTTACCGTGAATTACCCCCGTCAGCATAAAACATCAGAGCCTACCACGAATAACAAAGACACTCCTATCACCCTGGAAATTCCAAGGATTTAGAGGCTACCTCCTAGGAACCAAGGACAAAGGCCTGCTAAATAATTACACAGAGGCTGTTTTAAGGCTGGGGCCTCTCTGAGATCTAGGGAGAATGTAGACAAAGAATGAAAGAGGCCCAGGTGTGAGCCTGGAGGAAATCCAGAGGAGCAAGGGCATCACCCAGGCTAAGAGAAGAGGAGAGAGAGAGAGGTCAACTAGCTCAAACACAAGGAGGGGTTGAATATGCCGGATTGGGAAGAGGCAGGTGGATTGATTTGGCAGGTTGGAGGTTGTTGGCAAAAGTTGTTTCGGTGGTGTGCTAGGACACATGCCTGACTGTCAGAGTTTGAAAGCAAGGGTAGAGCACTCATCAGGATTATTGGTATGAAAAGGAACAGAGATGAGGTCAGAGATGAGGTGAGACTCTAGCTGGAGCCTGGGAGCACATGGAGTCCAGCTAGAGTGTTCTTTTAAGTTGGGGGATAACTGGACCTCTGTCTAGTAGGCTGCTCTCCATTAGCTTTAGAACACTGATTCACACTGCCTTGAGGAACAAAGACCTGTCTTCTCCTATAGAACTAAGAGGCAGTTCAGTTTCAGCCTCAGCTGATGCAAGGATGGGGCTACATCATCCGGGACCCAGGTTCTTTCCAGCTCTCGGCTCCACTTCCTTGGTGTGGCTGGAGCAAGATGGTGGCAGCTGTTCTAAGCAATTACCTCCAGACCAGAGGGAAAGGAAGGGCCATCCTTCCTGCACTCTAAGGAGTGAGGAAACTCCCAGAAGCCTCCTCCTCAATGTCATCAGCCAGAACGAGGTCCTGTGCTTCTGTCTGAATCAGTTCCTGGCCAGTTAGGTCCAGAGTAAAAGTGCTCACTTTAGAGGCTGAAGGAGAAGGTGTGACGACATTCTCACAAAGGATGGAAAAGTAGGGCACACTGAGAAGTGTAGTAGGGTACCTCACTGGGGGGGAGGGGGTGCTTTTGAGATTTGTGCAATTTTTTCTAGCTGTCTTCAGCTGCTTGAGCATGGTTGGGGGTCCCCAGGCAAGCAGGGCAGAGGAGAGGAGAGGAACAGAGGCATAAAGGGCGTTTCATGGCAAGTGACCCCAGTGCTGACCACGGGAGCCACGCTGGGTCAGGAAGGGAGATCAAAGGGTGAGAAAAGCGGATTGACGTGCACACGGAGTCTGAAGAGTTATCAGGGTAGGATTAGGACTGTTTCAGGCTGGGTTTCCTGGGAAACAGCCCCAGAGATGGGGGCTCCTATGTATGTGGTTTCCTTGGGGTCCTCTTGAGAATAACACCTATGAAGGAGTGAGAGTAGCAGATTGTGTGGAGGAACAGACAAGGCCCACAGTCAGTCCCCCAGGACTGAAGGCCTGGCACTCGGGATCGAGGCCAGGAGAGTTACTTCGGTCTTGGCTGCTGACCCCTGTCCTGTGGAGGGGGCTCTCTGCCTGCTCAGTTTTGATGGGGATGGAGAGGGCAGGCTGGGCCGCGTGCGCTTAGGGGTGTCGTGTAAGGAGGAGGGGCCTCAGTCAGACACTGATGCGCATGGGGGAGAAGGGCGTCGGAGCATGGTAGATGTGGCCTGAGAAATGGCCTCCAGGGAGCAGAAGGGACCTGGGCCGAGGATGCCAACAGGGGTAGGAACAAAGATTCTTTCACCAGCTGCCCCTCAGTGGAGGAGGGGCTCCTCCAGGGAGAGAGGACTGAACGGGCACCTGAGGTGGGGGGGGCGGGTGAAGGAGTAAGAAGACCCCTAAATACAGTGGGCACACAAAGGAGTTCTTCAAGCAGAAGTCTGGAGGGCTGGGCTTGGCACGCTGCTCTGCTGCTCAGAGCCTGGACTGGGTGCCCCGCCGGCCACCAAGGTAGGGGAGGACCCGAGGGTCCGAGGAAAAGGCTGCAGTGTGTGGGCCACAACAGCGCTTTCTGGGGAGGCTGAGGGGGCAGCTGCCTCCACACCGGGGTGGAGAGAGCCCCGGTCCCGTCTGGTCAGGGCGCAGATGGGGTCAGGCTCCAGGGTGGGCCCGGGACCATGCTGCTGTTCGTCTGAAGGCCACTTGCTTAGAGGAAACCTGACTGAAAATGGCAGCATGGTTTTGGTCTTTGGGCCTCCTGTCTGGCTTTCACCTTGGATACGTTCTGGTACATTCTTTCCCCCCCAGTGGAGAGATTCTCCTTGGATAAATTAGCATTGAACATCAGAATGCAATTAAGTCTTATTATTTCCTGCCAGTTCCCTTCCAACCGGACTTCCGAATAGCTCCATCCCCACCCGCATCCCCGCCTCCCTGCCCCTGCTTTCTGGAGGTGTTCCCTCTCCTAACTGCGTGCTGCCTGCTCCACGCACTCCCGGTGCTTCTCCCCCCACCCCGGGTGGCTTGGGGCAGCTCAGAGCGTCCAGGAGCCCCAGAGCCACAGGGAACATGGCCGCTGGCCTTGCTCAGTCCCCTCACTTTTCAGAGAAACTGAGGCCCAGGTTGCCTGCGACTCGCACGGAGCCGCAGGGGAAATCGGTTAAGGACCTGGGCCCCTCTCAGGGACGGCGGGGGTGCGGGGCCCGGACCGAGCGCTGTCAGCGTGTCACTTCTCCGCCGTGTCCTCCTCCCCAGGTGACGGCCTGCTGCTGGTGAAGAACCCGCCCCCCGGCCCGCAGCCGCCGCCGCCGCCGCCGGCTCCGCCCAGCCTGCCGGTGCTCCCGGCGGCCGAG